AGTGCTTCCTCAGGGGTTTAAAAATAGCCCTACGATTTTTGGTAATCAACTTGCAAAGGAACTTGAATCCTGGGAAGCCCCCAATTCTGCAGGGGTCCTGCTGCAATATGTTGATGATCTCTTGATTGCTACCGAAGACAGGGGAAGCTGCATACAGTGGACGGTGAGCCTCCTTAATTTCCTAGGAATGAATGGATACCGGGTTTCACAACAGAAGGCACAATTGGTTCAAACCCACGTGACGTACCTAGGATTTGAGATCTCAGGAGGACAACGTGAATTGGGGACGGAACGCAAGGAAGCAATCTGTCGTACCCCAGAACCACAGACTGTTAAAGAATTACGAACTTTCCTAGGAATGACAGGTTGGTGCAGATTATGGATCAACAATTATGGATTAATTGTAAGGCCTTCGTCTGATTTAATTAAAGATAACTGCATAAGACTAATATGGACAGGAGAAGCCCGAGCAGCCTTTAAGAAGTTTAAGATGGAGTTGATGCGAGCCCCAGCTCTTGGTTTACCAGATTTGTCTAAACCCTTTTGGTTATACTCCTGTGAAAGACAGGGTATGGCCTTAGGGGTACTAGCACAAAAGTTGGGACCTTACAAAAGGGCAGTGGCTTATTTCTCTAAACAATTGGATGAAGTAAGTAAAGGATGGCCAGGCTGCCTGCGAGCAGTGGCAGCCGTAATTATGAATATACAAGAAGCCCGGAAATTTACAATGGGGCAGAAGATAACAGTGTTTGTCTCACACACTGTGTCAGCAGTTTTAGAACAAAAGGGGGCTCATTGGTTATCTCCTCAGAGATTTTTGAAATATCAAGCAATATTGGTAGAACAGGACGATGTGGAAATTGTGATAACTAATATTGTGAATCCAGCCTCTTTTCTTAGTGATGCTCCGGTGGAACCTGTGATTCACGATTGTTTAGAAACTATGGAGACTGTGTATTCCAGCCGACCAGACCTTAAGGAGGAGCCCATGGAAGATGCAGAAGAAACTTGGTTCACGGATGGGAGCAGTTTTGTTACACAAGGACAATGTAAAGCTGGATATGCTATAACAACTACTCAGCAGGTAATTGAGTCTAAGCCTTTACCCCCTGGAACATCAGCTCAAAAGGCGGAGATAGTTGCTCTCACGAGAGCATTGGAACTGGCAGCTGGAAAAAGGGTAAATATTTGGACAGATTCTAAATATGCATTCGGCGTGGTACGTGCTCATGGAGCGATTTGGAAAGAACGTGGATTACTGACTGCTCAGGGAAAACAGATAAAACATGCTGAAGAAATTTTAAAATTGTTAGAGGCTGTAAAACAACCAGAAAAAGTGGCTATTATGCATTGCCGAGGGCATCAAAGAGGATCCACCGACTTCGAGATTGGGAACAGATTGGCTGATAAAGAGGCAAGAAGGGCGGCGGAAAGAGGTCAAGTGGAAGTGCTTGCTTTAATACCAGACGGTAAAATTCAGACATTAGAGAAAGGACAGGCTCCTAAATATTCAAAAGAAGATTTAAAGTTGATCGAGGATCTAAAAGGGAAGCTGAATGTTGATGGGTGGGCTCATTTGAAGGACAACAGGGTTGTTATGCCCTCTAATTTGGTGTGGCCTATGGTTTTGGGGGAACACAACAAAACCCACTGGGGAGCCGATGCCCTGTATAAACTATTAAATCGAGTCTTGGTAGCAAGAAATCTGTATACCACAATAAGGCAGGTAACCCAACAATGTGACACCTGTATGCGTCATAATCCCAATACAGGAAATAGGGTGACATTTGGTGTCATTGATAAAGGGAATTATTCGGGGCAACTGTGGCAAATTGATTTTTCAGAACTCCCTAGAAAAGGGGGGTATTGTTATTTACTGGTTCTGACTGACATGATTTCAGGAAGGCCTGAAGCCTTTCCCTGTCAAACAAACAAAGCAAGAAGAAGTGGTTAAAGTCTTGTTAAATGAAGTAATACCATGCTTTGGGATTCTAGTAGCAATGTCTTCTGATAGAGTTTCACATTTTTGTGTGCAAGTGGTACAACAGATAAGTAAGATTCTAAAGATATTCTAAAGACAACTGCATACTCTTTATAGACCGCAGGCAAGTGGACAGGTAGAAAAAATGAAACATTTAATTAAACAACAAATAGCTAAAATCGGACAAGAATCTAATTTGTCATGACCTCAATCCCTCCCTTTAGCATTACTTAGAATTTGAGTTAAACCTAGAATAAAAGGGAATTTGAGTCCCTTTGAAATTTTATATGGAAGGCCGTATCCATTTCTATTTAGTGGAGAGGATCTAATGCAGCTAGGATTAGAATATTTATATGCATATATAACTGAACTTCAGAAATAAATAAATAAAGTACATAAATTTGTTCTCAGGACCTGGGCTAGACGGTTGGATCAACCAATCCACCCTTTTAAGCTCAGGGATTATATATATAAAGAATTTTTTCAGGACAACCCCTAGAGGAAAAACGGAAGGAAAGTGGACGGGACTATACCAGGTATTACTGACAACACACACCGCCATTAAGATTAAGGAGCAAGCAGCTTGGATCCACGATTCAAGGGTGAAGAAGGCCCTGGCAAGGATATGGACCACCACTCCAATTGGACCAACAAAATTATGGTTTTCCAGATCCTAATGATTGCAGGGGTGTGGTTCTCAGATTCGGGGTGGGCAGTTTGGGACGAGAACTTACACCTGTCCCTGATACAAACAATTTCTCAAGTAATTAATAAGACAAACTGTTGGGTATGCACCCATCTGCCACAGCATGGGAATAAGGGTGTATCGTTAATCAGGATTCCCTTGCCTGCAAACTTACCTTGGACTAATTTGTGGGAAAACACATCTTGGGGTCAAAAATATGAAGAAGTTTTGGAACTAGAAGTTAGTAGCTTCGTGCCATTGGAATCTTACTATGTATGTGTACAAAGGTGTAACCCGCCTAAGGGTATGGGAAAACAGGATTGTATAAATACGGGTACTACTTATGTGGGAAATCAGACATCTTGTAATCAAACAATTGATATTAGTACAACTAGCAGTTGGTCAAATTCAACCAGCTGGCCAGTTCCAGAAGGAAAAGGGTGGTATTGGCTATGCAATGATACAGCCCGTAAGGTCTTGCCCGAGAACTGGAAGGGAACTTGCACTCTTGGAGCAGTAGTCCCCAGTATGACAGTACATGATGTAGTGCCTCGAGGTTACTTGAGAAATCATATCTGGAGAATTAGACGAAAAATTAACAATCCATTGATAGAGAGACACACCGCTTTTCATAGTTTTGTTCGATGGTTTATCCCATGGTTAGGAGTGAATGAATTGGAAAAGGCGATAGTTAATATTTCTGCAATTATAGAGAAGTTAGAAAACAAAACTCTGGATGCTATAAAGGCTCAACAAGAAGAGATATCTAGTTTATCACAGGTAGTATTACAAAATCGGATGGCCCTAGACTTGTTACTGGCCGCTCAAGGGGGAGTCTGTACAGTAATAAATACAAGTTGTTGTATGTATGTAGATCAGAGTGGAAGGATCTCTACCGACCTGGAAGAAATACGGAAGCAGACAAGGGTCCTACATGAGATCAGTAAAGATGATCTTTCATGGAGTTTTAGTGAAATATGGAATAAGTTAACCGCCTGGTTGCCCAACTTCCAATGGTTGGAACAAGTGTTCATTGCTCTAATCACATTAGTAGTGTTAGGAATATTTGTGTGCATGTTGTTTAGATGCCTGCTTTGTTGTGTTACTGTAAATAATGAAAGTATCTGATGCAAAAGAATTTGCATGGGAAAAGAAAAGGGGGGATTGATTAAGGAGGTATTGGGGAGGTATTGGGGAGGCAAGGACAATCCCCAGACATGGACTGTATATCTCGAAACAAGACACTGGAACTCATGATAAGGAAGCGGCAGACGGACAGAGAAACAAATGTAAGGACTATAAATCTCAAAACTGGACATTGGAATTTATTATAAAGATACAACAAACGGAAGAATTGGCAACAACCAGCTCTCGCAATTAAGAAACGTGCCAATTCAGCAGATTCCTGACCAAAGGTGAAAAGTACACTGTGAGGAAGACTCGGGGTCTTCCTCCCAAAGACCCCTGCCCACGTCCCAAAGACCCCTGCCCACAATTCTTGGGAGGCTCTACGCAGGCGCAAGGTGCCAAAAGGCTAATTAGCATGAGAAGCGAGGGAAGGCGGGGATAGGTGATGCGTATGTATAGGCGCTTGTAGAATATTGATAGATTGATTGTATAAATTCAAGACTGCTTTCCGCTTTGGGTATGCACGATAGGTGGAGAGATCCCCCGTGCATCCAGCGCTGCAATAAAGAATATACCACTTAAAGGAATTTCGGCTTCGATCTTTGAATCAGCAGAACACACCCGGACGTGCTGCGTAATCCTGAAATCACCAAGATATAAAAAGGGACCCTGGGGGGGGTGAGGTGCGCACCGTTGGCGGAGCCGAGACTCCCCGGCCGCCCAGCGCTGTTTTGCTTGCTGTTGCTTACTCAATAAATTCCTTTCTATTATTAATGCAATGCTCTCTGAAAATTACTTAAGGGGGCAACTTACAACAAGTACCACATTCCCTCCTTCTAAACAATGTAACTCTGCACAAACAACATTTCTATTCCCACACTGGTTATCGGTGGGGGGCTTTTTTGACGAGCACTGTGGGGTTGTGGCGCTGTCCCACCCCCGGCGCGGTGCTGCTGCACCCCAGCCTTCGGCACCACGGGGCGGGGAGGCTCCGCGGCCGTCTTTTAGCCCCGTTCTCGTGCTGTCCGGGCCGGCTTTTCTTATGGCGGCCGCTCCCCGAGGCCGCCATCCCTGAGGTGAGGCAGCCCCGCTCCCCGTCCCCGTCCCCGTCCCCGTCCCCGTCCCCGTCCCCTCACTTCGCGCTTTCCCGCGCGGCCCCGCCTCCTCCTCCCCTCCCTCCCCTCCCTCCCCTCTCGCGAGGCCGGGGCCGGGGCCGGGGCCGGGGCCGGGGCCGTCGCGGGCGGGTGAGGCGCGGCGCGCACCGCGCTGACGGGAGCCGCCATCGCCTGCCCCAATTGGCCGCGTGAGGCGAGCGGCGGAGCGGGGAGGGCGAGGGACGGGACGGGACCGGGACCGGGACCGGGCGGGGGGCGTGTGACGGCACAGAGCGAGGGGCGCGGCGGCATGGCCTCGGGCGGCCCAACGGCCGGCGGCGGAACGGCCGCGGAGGGCTCGGCCGGCGGCGGGTGCGGCGGAGGCGGCGGCGGTGGCGGTGCGGCCGCGCCGGAGCGGGAGCCGGAGCCGGAGCCGGAGCCGGAGCCGGAGCCGGAGCGCTTGGAGGAGGAGGAGGAGGAGGAGGAGGAGGAGGAGGAGGAGAAGTTGCTGCGGCTGGCAGCAAGATGAAGAGGCGGCGCCACCGTTGGGGCGCCGCGAGGGCCCCCTACCCCCGGTTTAGGCAGGTGAGGAGCGGCCCCCACGCAGCGGGCCCTGCCCCACAGCGCCTCGGTTGCCCGTGTACTTATCGCTCAGCCCCTTCCTGACCCCCTCACCCGCCCCTTTATCCCTTTAATTGCCCTGTACCCACCTCCTTATCCCCTTAATTACCCCCTCAACTGTCCAGTTACCCCCCCAGTTACCCCCCCAGTTACCCCCCCAGTTACCCCCCCAACCCTTTACTAACCCCCCTTAGTTACGCCTTCAGCCCCTTCCTGACCCCCTCAACTTCCTCTTTATTCCCTTAATCACCCCCTACCCACCTCCTTATCCCCTTAGCTACTCCCTCAACTGCCTAGTTACCCCCTCAACCCCTTACTAACCCCCCTCAGTTATCCCCTCGGCCCCTTACTGATCCCCTTAATCACCCCCTAGCCACCTCCTTACCCCCTTAGTTACCCCTTCAGCGCCTTACTTTCCCCCTTTATTCCCTTAATCACGCTCCAGCCACCCCCGTACCCCCCTAGTTACCCCCTCAACCACTTAGTTACTGCCCTCAGTTACCCCCCCCAGCAACCCCCCGCAACTGCCTAGTTACCCCCCTCGGCCCCTCACTATCCCCCTTATCGCTTTACCCAGCCTTTTACCCCCCCTCCTCACCCTCCCTTTCATCCCCAGCCCACTGCCCTCAGGACCTCCAGGGCTTTCCCCACTCCCTGCACCCCGCCTCGCCCCCTCGTAAATTCTCTGCACGTTACCTGCCAGGCTTTACTTCTCCTTCGTGCGGGAGGGTCCGGTAGGTTGACGGTGAATGCAAATTCTGTAAATTCAGGGTGTGAAAATCCCCGTGCTGGAGGGGGGACACGCTGAGATCCCTGCCAGCAGCTCATTGCGAAGAAATGTCAGGCGCCCAGAGAGGTGCTCTGCAGACGCCCTCTGCACGTGTTCGTTCAGCCAAAACCTCTCCGCTATGAAATCAGCAACGTAACTGAGTATCATATGCAAAGCCGAGGGAGCACTATGCATGGATAGCTGCTCAGTTAGGTTTTTATCACTCGCAGAAGTGCCAAGTCCCTTACACCGTATATTGACAATCAGTCTAGTCCATCTAAAGCTGGCCTGGAAGGGCAATAAAACATTCCCCACGCTTACAGAGCAAACATTGAAACCTCGGGCTTCAGCAACACGTTAATGTTGAAAGTGTCGTATCTCGCGTGTGCCGACGCTGCGTAGGTAACTGATAAACCTTACAGGTGAATTAATAATCAGCGGAGATGGTTTTCCAACTTTGCTATTGCCTGTTATCTCTGGGTGTTTTCCAGTAGGTTTATTGAAGCAGTGTGCCAGAGCAAAGAGGTGCTTGGGGATATCTGGGGGATTCTGCACAGAGAACGGATGCTGCACATCCAACGCAGATCAAATTAACAGCAACTTATCGGGGAAAAAATTGTAATGATTTGATAAATAGGCAAACTGATAGACGCTATACGTGTGCGTTTATTATGTTATTTATTATAATATTATATTTATTAATATTATTTATTATAGCTGATAACTTTGTAGCCATATGAACCGTGCAAATGCCCGTAACATAACAGGATGAACTTTGGGTAAATAGCTTGCTTAGAGCATTTGTCAATTGATTTCAGTTTGTTTTCAATGTGATGCCCGCTCTGCAGAAGGCTCTGTGCTTTAATGTGAATTGTCTCTCTGTGACGCAGTTGGGGAGACACGAAAGCGATGGAGGCGATTTTAACATGAGGTTATACCTCTGATTCTGATCCCTACCGGCTGTTTTTCTCATCCTTCCCCCTACAACTTTTGTCAATAAGTCAGTTTGTAGAAGTACTGAAATAGATCTGTTTTGTGTGCTTGTGATCAGAATTACAGCCCACCAAACCCTCCGTCTCTTATCGCTAAGCTCTGAAGGTGCCTGGGCACTAGACAGTGTAGTTAACAGCTTTGAAGTTCCTGGGATATCTAATTTACTTTTTTTTTTTTTTTTTTTTTGCTTGCTTGTTGATAATAAATGATAGAAAACAGAAAAGTATGTCCCTTTTACGGGGCTGGTAAACTCGGCCCCACATGTACACAATTTTTGTCATGTTGTTTAAAATAATTACTTTCTTTGGTAGAGAATTTGACAAATTTGATTTAGTGTTCTATCAGTTTGTCCTCAGTGCTGAGTGAAGCAGTGATGCTCACTTTAGCCCCAAAGTTTAACTGAACTGCATCCACAATGCTGAATTAGGGAACAAGGTTAAGTAGGTGAGGCGTATTCAGTGCTATAAAATTAAAAATAAATAAATTTAAAAAACCAACACCAACACATAAGTGGTTTTGGGTACTTTGTGTATTCTGTATCTATTCAGCTAAATCTTGAAATAAATTTAACTTGCAGTGGATGAGAGAGAAGACTTCGCCTGTGAGACAGCAAGCAGAACAATGTGGAAGGTATGACATTTATTCATTTAAAACTTACTTGAAGGAAGAAAGAAATCTCCTTTTCAGTACAGTCTGCATGCTTGCCTTTTTGGAAAGGTGGTGACAGTTGTCAGTAAAAGGAATGGGAAATGCAAGGAAAACTTTGTATTTTGAGGGAACAGCGAAGTCCAGATTGTGTTTGAAGACCAGTGTAACTTTGAGAAAATTGTTGCTTTTATGAAAAGAATGAAGATGAACAATAATAAAATGACTGATACATGACTGATACACCACTTTTTATGCCAAGTTTATCTTCTGAGTAGGATGTGAAGATGGGAAACAAGGCAGGCTATAATGCTGTATCCACGGAAAGGCTCTGTGCTTTTGGAGGCCTAATTTTTTCCTTCTCTAGGAAATAGGGATCGTTTTGTAGTTTAACTAAATCTTTAGTGTTACAAATTTTGCTGTGACAGCTATTTCATAGTTTGTATGTCAGTTTATTTATAACAAAACAATTTGTCCCTCTTAATGTTCCCTAGGGGAAAAGCTATTAGTTTTAGCTAGTTAATTGCTGGGAGTTTGAAAGCTCTGTCCTCATGGAATGATTCTTTCTGAAGTATTCTTTAGAAGGTAAAGTAGGCGAAGTGAGTCACAGGTTTTTTTTTCTTTATTTTTTAAGCAAAAACCTGGAAGAAGATTTATTAGTATTTATTTATTTTTAATGCTCCTTTCATGATGAAGTTAATTGTTTGCTCTGAGTTCACATGAAGACCCTGTGTTGTTTAGAATCATTTGAGGCCAAATGCTAACTCGTCTCTAAAATAAAAAAACTAAATCCAGAAGAATTAACTGAACTTCTTCTTGAGGAGACTGCTTTGTGTTATACTGCTTTCTTGGTTTAGGATGTTAATTAATGAGTTAGTTGGTTAGGGTTAGGATGAGTTATCCTCCAGATAATATTGATGGCTTTCCCTTCTGGGCAAATGGTGTTTGGGGTAATAACGCTTGAGTTAGGACATTTTGCACCCTACCTTTTTAGGGGGTTGCTCTTTTCCAAGAACAGTAGCAGGGAATTTTGCTGACTCTGCTCATCTGCCAAGCAATTCTTATGTGACCGTGGGCATTCTTTGGCTTGCAGAAAGAACTCAACGTTTTTGTCTTGGCATCTAAAAGTTCGACTTCACAACCACCGCCTTTTTAGGGGTGGAAGCGACTGGCTTTAAGGTTCTGGTACAGGTGCAAACAGCTGCTGGGTTTTAATTATGTTTTTTTCAAACTGTTCTGAATTATCTTTGTTAGCACTCCTTTCTACTTCTCCATGTAGGAAGGAGATCCAGAAAACTCATACTGCTTTTGATTTTGTTGACACAGTCCATTGCAGTGCCCTACCTTTTGTTTGTAGAGTAGGTAGTGGTGGTAGTGTTTTTTGTGGTGCTGGTCTCTGTTGGGTGCCATGTTCTGGAGCAGGAGCACCACAATGATCTGCTGGCAAGAGTCCCTTTGGACAGCTGAGTTGGAATATTCAGTAAATCTCTGGCCCACCAATGCTATATATGTGTGTGTGTGTGTATACATATATATATATATAATTTTTTTGTTAAGCCTGAGTCCAATTGTAGATCAGACTTGCTTGAAGGCTGACAACTGTCTTTGCCCCCTTGAAGCTGACAGGCGTTAACAGAAAGAGGAATATGGGCTATTATGGGCAAAGGATACTTGTCCGAATAAAGACCTATTCTGATGTAAGACTTTTTTTCAGTGTTCTAATTGATTGACAGTTTGGATTAGAGAAAAGTCTGAGCATATGCCTTAGGGATCTGTCTTCCTCTATGCAGTCAGAGTGCTAAGCAGGCTGTTGTCAAGTATTTGACAAGTTTAGACCAGTTCTCCTCCTCAGTCTTCTGGAAGTTTGAGCTGGTGTCTTCCAGTGTGATCTAATGCACTTTTGTACTTCCTGATTGGCTGCAAGATAAGCTTTGATGTCACAGTTTTTCCAGGCAGACTTCATTTTCTTGCCATAGTGCTTTTATTAGTGCTATTCCCTATTTCACTTCTGGTTTGGGATATTTTTTTCCCTGTTTCCACTGAGATGAGGAAATCTTTCTGGTTTTGGTCTAGGCTTTTCTAAGTAACAGAAAAATGCCTTTGTGTGCCTTACAAAAGGGATCTCTATTCATGTCTGAAAAGACTGGAATGTTGGCACACCCAAACACCTCTGCTGTTGCTGCTGATGGCCACATGAAAGCCAGAGCTGCTTCTGAAGCTTATGCTGTATTACCTTGCCACACAAGTCTGCGGCCTCTCTGTTCTATCATAGCTGTTGGCAGCGTGTCCCGTGTGTGTATGCATATGAGCACTCTTTCTATATTTTCGTGAGTTGTTCTTTTATATCCTTGCAAAGATGCATGTTCATCGCAGAATCAGAGAACCAGTCCTGTTTAAAGGAAGCATTGGAAAATAGCAATCTAAATCAGCTCTTCTATTTCAGGTCTTCTGGCTTAGTCGTTGTTCCCGTATGTGTGAGCGGTGTGAAATGTGAAACTACGAGAAATGTGACCAGCTACAACTTCGGTACTGCCGCATCCAATGGTCTGTCCTCAGGAATGAGTAGTGGAGGCGGCAAAATGAGAAGGGAAAGAGGATTACACTATTTATCCAGATGTGTACAAGAAAAGGTAAGTGACTCTTAAATTAATTGCTGTGACTGAGATTGCTGAAGTCAGTAGCTAAGTGTGTCAGTTTTATTGCATCATAGTACATTATAATAATACCTCTTTAGTTTTGCATGATGTTTTCCTGGGGGTTTCAGAGCAGGCTCAATGGCTCTAGGCACCTCCTTACCCACTTATTTACCCCTTCAGCGCCTTACTTTCCCCCTTTATTCCCTTAATCACGCTCCAGCCACCCCCGTACCCCCCTAGTTACCCCCTCAACCACTTAGTTACTGCCCTTAGTTACCCCCCCCCAGCAACCCCCCGCAACTGCCTAGTTACCCCCTCGGCCCCTCACTATCCCCCTTATCGCTTTACCCAGCCTTTTACCCCCCTCCTCACCCTCCCTTTCATCCCCAGCCCACTGCCCTCAGGACCTCCAGGGCTTTCCCCACTCCCTGCACCCCGCCTCGCCCCCTCGTAAATTCTCTGCACGTTACCTGCCAGGCTTTACTTCTCCTTCGTGCGGGAGGGTCCGGTAGGTTGACGGTGAATGCAAATTCTGTAAATTCAGGGTGTGAAAATCCCCGTGCTGGAGGGGGGACACGCTGAGATCCCTGCCAGCAGCTCATTGCGAAGAAATGTCAGGCGCCCAGAGAGGTGCTCTGCAGACGCCCTCTGCACGTGTTCGTTCAGCCAAAACCTCTCCGCTATGAAATCAGCAACGTAACTGAGTATCATATGCAAAGCCGAGGGAGCACTATGCGTGGATAGCTGCTCAGTTAGGTTTTTATCACTCGCAGAAGTGCCAAGTCCCTTACACCGTATATTGACAATCAGTCTAGTCCATCTAAAGCTGGCCTGGAAGGGCAATAAAACATTCCCCACGCTTACAGAGCAAACATTGAAACCTCGGGCTTCAGCAACACGTTAATGTTGAAAGTGTCGTATCTCGCGTGTGCCGACGCTGCGTAGGTAACTGATAAACCTTACAGGTGAATTAATAATCAGCGGAGATGGTTTTCCAACTTTGCTATTGCCTGTTATCTCTGGGTGTTTTCCAGTAGGTTTATTGAAGCAGTGTGCCAGAGCAAAGAGGTGCTTGGGGATATCTGGGGGATTCTGCACAGAGAACGGATGCTGCACATCCAACGCAGATCAAATTAACAGCAACTTATCGGGGAAAAAATTGTAATGATTTGATAAATAGGCAAACTGATAGACGCTATACGTGTGCGTTTATTATGTTATTTATTATAATATTATATTTATTAATATTATTTATTATAGCTGATAACTTTGTAGCCATATGAACCGTGCAAATGCCCGTAACATAACAGGATGAACTTTGGGTAAATAGCTTGCTTAGAGCATTTGTCAATTGATTTCAGTTTGTTTTCAATGTGATGCCCGCTCTGCAGGAGGCTCTGTGCTTTAATGTGAATTGTCTCTCTGTGACGCAGTTGGGGAGACACGAAAGCGATGGAGGCGATTTTAACATGAGGTTATACCTCTGATTCTGATCCCTACCGGCTGTTTTTCTCATCCTTCCCCCTACAACTTTTGTCAATAAGTCAGTTTGTAGAAGTACTGAAATAGATCTGTTTTGTGTGCTTGTGATCAGAATTACAGCCCACCAAACCCTCCGTCTCTTATCGCTAAGCTCTGAAGGTGCCTGGGCACTAGACAGTGTAGTTAACAGCTTTGAAGTTCCTGGGATATCTAATTTACTTTTTTTTTTTTTTTTTTTTTTGCTTGCTTGTTGATAATAAATGATAGAAAACAGAAAAGTATGTCCCTTTTACGGGGCTGGTAAACTCGGCCCCACATGTACACAATTTTTGTCATGTTGTTTAAAATAATTACTTTCTTTGGTAGAGAATTTGACAAATTTGATTTAGTGTTCTATCAGTTTGTCCTCAGTGCTGAGTGAAGCAGTGATGCTCACTTTAGCCCCAAAGTTTAACTGAACTGCATCCACAATGCTGAATTAGGGAACAAGGTTAAGTAGGTGAGGCGTATTCAGTGCTATAAAATTAAAAATAAATAAATTTTAAAAAACCAACACATAAGTGGTTTTGGGTACTTTGTGTATTCTGTATCTATTCAGCTAAATCTTGAAATAAATTTAACTTGCAGTGGATGAGAGAGAAGACTTCGCCTGTGAAACAGCAAGCAGAACAATGTGGAAGGTATGACATTTATTCATTTAAAACTTACTTGAAGGAAGAAAGAAATCTCCTTTTCAGTACAGTCTGCATGCTTGCCTTTTTGGAAAGGTGGTGACAGTTGTCAGTAAAAGGAATGGGAAATGCAAGGAAAACTTTGTATTTTGAGGGAACAGCGAAGTCCAGATTGTGTTTGAAGACCAGTGTAACTTTGAGAAAATTGTTGCTTTTATGAAAAGAATGAAGATGAACAATAATAAAATGACTGATACATGACTGATACACCACTTTTTATGCCAAGTTTATCTTCTGAGTAGGATGTGAAGATGGGAAACAAGGCAGGCTATAATGCTGTATCCACGGAAAGGCTCTGTGCTTTTGGAGGCCTAATTTTTTCCTTCTCTAGGAAATAGGGATCGTTTTGTAGTTTAACTAAATCTTTAGTGTTACAAATTTTGCTGTGACAGCTATTTCATAGTTTGTATGTCAGTTTATTTATAACAAAACAATTTGTCCCTCTTAATGTTCCCTAGGGGAAAAGCTATTAGTTTTAGCTAGTTAATTGCTGGGAGTTTGAAAGCTCTGTCCTCATGGAATGATTCTTTCTGAAGTATTCTTTAGAAGGTAAAGTAGGCGAAGTGAGTCACAGGTTTTTTTTCTTTATTTTTTAAGCAAAGACCTGGAAGAAGATTTATTAGTATTTATTTATTTTTAATGCTCCTTTCATGATGAAGTTAATTGTTTGCTCTGAGTTCACATGAAGACCCTGTGTTGTTTAGAATCATTTGAGGCCAAATGCTAACTCGTCTCTAAAATAAAAAAACTAAATCCAGAAGAATTAACTGAACTTCTTCTTGAGGAGACTGCTTTGTGTTATACTGCTTTCTTGGTTTAGGATGTTAATTAATGAGTTAGTTGGTTAGGGTTAGGATGAGTTATCCTCCAGATAATATTGATGGCTTTCCCTTCTGGGCAAATGGTGTTTGGGGTAATAACGCTTGAGTTAGGACATTTTGCACCCTACCTTTTTAGGGGGTTGCTCTTTTCCAAGAACAGTAGCAGGGAATTTTGCTGACTCTGCTCATCTGCCAAGCAATTCTTATGTGACCGTGGGCATTCTTTGGCTTGCAGAAAGAACTCAACGTTTTTGTCTTGGCATCTAAAAGTTCGACTTCACAACCACCGCCTTTTTAGGGGTGGAAGCGACTGGCTTTAAGGTTCTGGTACAGGTGCAAACAGCTGCTGGGTTTTTAATTATGTTTTTTTCAAGCTGTTCTGAATTATCTTTGTTAGCACTCCTTTCTACTTCTCCATGTAGGAAGGAGATCCAGAAAACTCATACTGCTTTTGATTTTGTTGACACAGTCCATTGCAGTGCCCTACCTTTTGTTGTAGAGTAGGTAGTGGTGGTAGTGTTTTTTGTGGTGCTGGTCTCTGTTGGGTGCCATGTTCTGGAGCAGGAGCACCACAATGATCTGCTGGCAAGAGTCCCTTTGGACAGCTGAGTTGGAATATTCAGTAAATCTCTGGCCCACCAATGCTATATATGTGTGTGTGAGTGTATACATCTATATATATATATTATTTATTATTTTTTTTAAGCCTGAGTCCAATTGTAGATCAGACTTGCTTGAAGGCTGACAACTGTCTTTGCCCCCTTGAAGCTGACAGGTGTTAACAGAAAGAGGAATATGGGCTATTATGGGCAAACGATACTTGTCCGAATAAAGACCTATTCTGATGCAAGACTTTTTTTCAGTGTTCTAATTGATTGACAGTTTGGATTAGAGAAAAGTCTGAGCATATGCCTTAGGGATCTGTCTTCCTCTATGCAGTCAGAGTGCTAAGCAGGCTGTGTCAAGTATTTGACAAGTTTAGACCAGTTCTCCTCCTCAGTCTTCTGGAAGTTTGAGCTGGTGTCTTCCAGTGTGATCTAATGCACTTTTGTACTTCCTGATTGGCTGCAAGATAAGCTTTGATGTCACAGTTTTTCCAGGCAGACTTCATTTTCTTGCCATAGTGCTTTTATTAGTGCTATTCCCTATTTCACTTCTGGTTTGGGATATTTTTTTCCCTGTTTCCACTGAGATGAGGAAATCTTTCTGGTTTTGGTCTAGGCTTTTCTAAGTAACAGAAAAATGCCTTTGTGTGCCTTACAAAAGGGATCTCTATTCATGTCTGAAAAGACTGGAATGTTGGCACACCCAAACACCTCTGCTGTTGCTGCTGATGGCCACATGAAAGCCAGAGCTGCTTCTGAAGCTTATGCTGTATTACCTTGCCACACAAGTCTACGGCCTCTCTGTTCTATCATAGCTGTTGGCAGCGTGGCCCGTGTGTGTATGCATATGAGCACTCTTTCTATATTTTCGTGAGTTGTTCTTTTATATCCTTGCAAAGATGCATGTTCATCGCAGAATCAGAGAACCAGTCCTGTTTAAAGGAAGCGTTGGAAAATAGCAATCTAAATCAGCTCTTCTATTTCAGGTCTTCTGGCTTAGTCGTTGTTCCCGTATGTGTGAGCGGTGTGAAATGTGAAACTACGAGAAATGTGACCAGCTACAACTTCGGTACTGCCGCATCCAATGGTCTGTCCTCAGGAATGAGTAGTGGAGGCGGCGAAATGAGAAGGGAAAGAGGATTACACTATTTATCCAGATGTGTACAAGAACAGGTAAGTGACTCTTAAATTAATGCTGTGACTGAGATTGCTGAAGTCAGTAGCTAAGTGTGTCAGTTTTATTGCATCATAGTACATTATAATAATACCTCTTTAGTTTTGCATGATGTTTTCCTGGGGTTTCAGAGCAGGCTCAATGGCTCTAGGCACCTCCTTACCCACTTACTTACCCCTTCAGCGCCTTACTTTCCCCCTTATTCCCTTAATCACGCTCCAGCCACCCCCGTACCCCCTAGTTACCCCCTCAACCACTTAGTTACTGCCCTCAGTTACCCCCCCCAGCAACCCCCCGCAACTGCCCTAGTTACCCCCCTAGTTACCCCCTCGGCCCCTCACTATCCCCCTTATCGCTTTACCCAGCCTTTTACCCCCCTCCTCACCCTCCCTTTCATCCCCAGCCCACTGCCCTCAGGACTCCAGGGCTTTCCCCACTCCCTGCACCCCGCCTCGCCCCCTCGTAAATTCTCTGCACGTTACCTGCCAGGCTTTACTTCTCCTTCGTGCGGGAGGGTCCGGTAGGTTGACGGTGAATGCAAATTCTGTAAATTCAGGGTGTGAAAATCCCCGTGCTGGAGGGGGGACACGCTGAGATCCCTGCCAGCAGCTCATTGCGAAGAAATGTCAGGCGCCCAGAGAGGTGCTCTGCAGACGCCCTCTGCACGTGTTCGTTCAGCCAAAACCTCTCCGCTATGAAATCAGCAACGTAACTGAGTATCATATGCAAAGCCGAGGGAGCACTATGCGTGGATAGCTGCTCAGTTAGGTTTTTATCACTCGCAGAAGTGCCAAGTCCCTTACACCGTATATTGACAATCAGTCTAGTCCATCTAAAGCTGGCCTGGAAGGGCAATAAAACATTCCCCACGCTTACAGAGCAAACATTGAAACCTCGGGCTTCAGCAACACGTTAATGTTGAAAGTGTCGTATCTCGCGTGTGCCGACGCTGCGTAGGTAACTGATAAACCTTACAGGTGAATTAATAATCAGCGGAGATGGTTTTCCAACTTTGCTATTGCCTGTTATCTCTGGGTGTTTTCCAGTAGGTTTATTGAAGCAGTGTGCCAGAGCAAAGAGGTGCTTGGGGATATCTGGGGGATTCTGCACAGAGAACGGATGCTGCACATCCAACGCAGATCAAATTAACAGCAACTTATCGGGGAAAAAATTGTAATGATTTGATAAATAGGCAAACTGATAGACGCTATACGTGTGCGTTTATTATGTTATTTATTATAATATTATATTTATTAATATTATTTATTATAGCTGATAACTTTGTAGCCATATGAACCGTGCAAATGCCCGTAACATAACAGGATGAACTTTGGGTAAATAGCTTGCTTAGAGCATTTGTCAATTGATTTCAGTTTGTTTTCAATGTGATGCCCGCTCTGCAGGAGGCTCTGTGCTTTAATGTGAATTGTCTCTCTGTGACGCAGTTGGGGAGACACGAAAGCGATGGAGGCGATTTTAACATGAGGTTATACCTCTGATTCTGATCCCTACCGGCTGTTTTTCTCATCCTTCCCCCTACAACTTTGTCAATAAGTCAGTTTGTAGAAGTACTGAAATAGATCTGTTTTGTGTGCTTGTGATCAGAATTACAGCCCACCAAACCCTCCGTCTCTTATCGCTAAGCTCTGAAGGTGCCTGGGCACTAGACAGTGTAGTTAACAGCTTTGAAGTTCCTGGGATATCTAATTTACTTTTTTTTTTTTTTTTTTTTTTGCTTGCTTGTTGATAATAAATGATAGAAAACAGAAAAGTATGTCCCTTTTACGGGGCTGGTAAACTCGGCCCCACATGTACACAATTTTTGTCATGTTGTTTAAAATAATTACTTTCTTTGGTAGAGAATTTGACAAATTTGATTTAGTGTTCTATCAGTTTGTCCTCAGTGCTGAGTGAAGCAGTGATGCTCACTTTAGCCCCAAAGTTTAACTGAACTGCATCCACAATGCTGAATTAGGGAACAAGGTTAAGTAGGTGAGGCGTATTCAGTGCTATAAAATTAAAAATAAATAAATTTTAAAAAACCAACACATAAGTGGTTTTGGGTACTTTGTGTATTCTGTATCTATTCAGCTAAATCTTGAAATAAATTTAACTTGCAGTGGATGAGAGAGAAGACTTCGCCTGTGAAACAGCAAGCAGAACAATGTGGAAGGTATGACATTTATTCATTTAAAACTTACTTGAAGGAAGAAAGAAATCTCCTTTTCAGTACAGTCTGCATGCTTGCCTTTTTGGAAAGGTGGTGACAGTTGTCAGTAAAAGGAATGGGAAATGCAAGGAAAATTTTGTATTTTGAGGGAACAGCGAAGTCCAGATTGTGTTTGAAGACCAGTGTAACTTTGAGAAAATGTTGCTTTTATGAAAAGAATGAAGATGAACAATAATAAAATGACTGATACATGACTGATACACCACTTTTTATGCCAAGTTTATCTTCTGAGTAGGATGTGAAGATGGGAAACAAGGCATGCTATAATGCTGTATCCACGGAAAGGCTCTGTGCTTTTGGAGGCCTAATTTTTCCTTCTCTAGGAAATAGGGATCGTTTTGTAGTTTAACTAAATCTTTAGTGTTACAAATTTTGCTGTGACAGCTATTTCATAGTTTGTATGTCAGTTTATTTATAACAAAACAATTTGTCCCTCTTAATGTTCCCTAGGGGAAAAGCTATTAGTTTTAGCTAGTTAATTGCTGGGAGTTTGAAAGCTCTGTCCTCATGGAATGATTCTTTCTGAAGTATTCTTTAGAAGGTAAAGTAGGCGAAGTGAGTCACAGGTTTTTTTTCTTTATTTTTTAAGCAAAGACCTGGAAGAAGATTTATTAGTATTTATTTATTTTTAATGCTCCTTTCATGATGAAGTTAATTGTTTGCTCTGAGTTCACATGAAGACCCTGTGTTGTTTAGAATCATTTGAGGCCAAATGCTAACTCGTCTCTAAATAAAAAAACTAAATCCAGAAGAATTAACTGAACTTCTTCTTGAGGAGACTGCTTTGTGTTATACTGCTTCTTGGTTTAGGATGTTAATTAATGAGTTAGTTGGTTAGGGTTAGGATGAGTTATCCTCCAGATAATATTGATGGCTTTCCCTTCTGGGCAAATGGTGTTTGGGGTAATAACGCTTGAGTTAGGACATTTTGCACCCTACCTTTTTAGGGGGTTGCTCTTTTCCAAGAACAGTAGCAGGGAATTTTGCTGACTCTGCTCATCTGCCAAGCAATTCTTATGTGACCGTGGGCATTCTTTGGCTTGCAGAAAGAACTCAACGTTTTTGTCTTGGCATCTAAAAGTTCGACTTCACAACCACCGCCTTTTTAGGGGTGGAAGCGACTGGCTTTAAGGTTCTGGTACAGGTGCAAACAGCTGCTGGGTTTTAATTATGTTTTTTCAAGCTGTTCTGAATTATCTTTGTTAGCACTCCTTTCTACTTCTCCATGTAGGAAGGAGATCCAGAAAACTCATACTGCTTTTGATTTGTTGACACAGTCCATTGCAGTGCCCTACCTTTTGTTTGTAGAGTAGGTAGTGGTGGTAGTGTTTTTTTGTGGTGCTGGTCTCTGTTGGGTGCCATGTTCTGGAGCAGGAGCACCACAATGATCTGCTGGCAAGAGTCCCTTGGACAGCTGAGTTGGAATATTCAGTAAATCTCTGGCCCACCAATGCTATATATGTGTGTGTGTATACATATATATATATTTATTTTTTTAAGCCTGAGTCCAATTGTAGATCAGACTTGCTTGAAGGCTGACAACTGTCTTTGCCCCCTTGAAGCTGACAGGTGTTAACAGAAAGAGGAATATGGGCTATTATGGGCAAACGATACTTGTCCGAATAAAGACCTATTCTGATGCAAGACTTTTTTTCAGTGTTCTAATTGATTGACAGTTTGGATTAGAGAAAAGTCTGAGCATATGCCTTAGGGATCTGTCTTCCTCTATGCAGTCAGAGTGCTAAGCAGGCTGTTGTCAAGTATTTGACAAGTTTAGACCAGTTCTCCTCCTCAGTCTTCTGGAGTTTGAGCTGGTGTCTTCCAGTGTGATCTAATGCACTTTTGTACTTCCTGATTGGCTGCAAGATAAGCTTTGATGTCACAGTTTTTCCAGGCAGACTTCATTTTCTTTCCATAGTGCTTTTATTAGTGCTATTCCCTATTTCACTTCTGGTTTGGGATATTTTTTTCCCTGTTTCCACTGAGATGAGGAAATCTTTCTGGTTTTTTGGGTCTAGGGCTTTTCTAAGTAACAGAAAAATGCCTTTGTGTGCCTTACAAAAGGGATCTCTATTCATGTCTGAAAAGACTGGAATGTTGGCACACCCAAACACCTCTGCTGTTGCCTGCTGATGGCCACATGAAAGCCAGAGCTGCTTCTGAAGCTTATGCTGTATTACCTTGCCACACAAGTCTACGGCCTCTCTGTTCTATCATAGCTGTTGGCAGCGTGGCCCGTGTGTGTATGCATATGAGCACTCTTTCTATATTTTCGTGAGTTGTTCTTTTATATCCTTGCAAAGATGCATGTTCATCGCAGAATCAGAGAACCAGTCCCTGTTTAAAGGAAGCGTTGGAAATAAGCAATCTAAATCAGCTCTTCTATTTCAGGTCTTCTGGCTTAGTCGTTGTTCCCGTATGAACGGTGCGCTTATGTATGTCCTTTTCATTGCTGCTGTTAATAAAGATTTTCCGATTTAGAACATCAAGTATTTACCAGCATTTAGCAACTTGTGAGACAGCTTTATTTTTTTCTGGTTAGCAGGTTTCAATTCTAGGACTAATAACAGCTATAATGTCTTGAAAAAAATGGTCTGATTAATTTTTTTTTCTCTTTTTTTTTCCTCCCAACTTCTGTACTGTTGTGTGACCAGCTACAGAAATGTGAGCGGTGTGAAATGTGAAACTACGAGAAATGTGACCAGCTACAACTTCGGTACTGCCGCATCCAATGGTCTGTCCTCAGGAATGAGTAGTGGAGGCGGCAAAATGAGAAGGGAAAGAGGATTACACTATTTATCCAGATGTGTACAAGAAAAGGTAAGTGACTCTTAAATTAATTGCTGTGACTGAGATTGCTGAAGTCAGTAGCTAAGTGTGTCAGTTTTATTGCATCATAGTACATTATAATAATACCTCTT